CTGGCCTGAATATTTGAGAAATCTTATTAGAAAAATATACACTCTCTATCAGGATTCGAACATGTGCTCTCCTAAGGAAAGCAGTCATTAGATCTGATGTGCTTTGACGACTTGGCTATGGAGTGCGTCAATGGCCAAACAAAGTTGAATAATACCTTTAAACACAGATTTTTCTCCAACTCGCAAAATAGACATATCTTCTCAGTTTTATCTGCTGATGTTAATTTGTGGACATTTTTTAGCAGTGATCATTATATTTTACAGTTTTCATTTGTTCAATAAAATTCTTTCTGTATTTTAATGATTTTGATCATTTGATTGGATTTGATCAGTTGAGAAAGAAATGGTAAAATACATTTTTTTTTTTTTTTTTTTTTTTTTTTTGTTCTTTTCAGTCAAAGATGAAGTTAATCTGTAAACTTTACCATATTCCAAAAACCTTTCTGCAATATGATAAAAAAAAAAACAATGATAATCTTTATTTTGTGATCTTATTATTCTTTGCTATCTCTTTAATTTGGAGCAGTGTTATATTGTCATCTTTATGCTAAAATATATTTTTACATTCAAAATCAGCAGTGGACCTCTTCAAACTATAAGTTAAAAAAAAATAAACTGAAAACAAATCTGACGCTGAACCCTATTGCAAGAAAATACTCGGCTTGACCACTCGGTAGAGTGTATAATGATAATGGCACTAGAATTAATCAAAACCAGATATCCTTAACATTATCAGAGTGGACAGGGTGGGTGTTGGTCTCACTTCCTCCTTAGGGAGTGAGAAAAAAAAAATTTGATGTTTTTAACCAATGTATGAAAACATTTTTGTTATGATGTAATATATAAAATTAAAATTTCCTTTTATCAAATTTTCATGTTTTAATAAATTTATAGCTAACCAAACTTTAAAATATCTGACCAAACTTACTTTACAAAATTTATTTTATCTTCAAAAATATTTTGAAATTATCAGCTTTAATGATTTGCTTTATGTATGAGTCCTTTGAAACTTTTATCAGTTATAAAAGTATTTCTTTTAAATATTGTGATGCATGCTAAATTATATTTTATACTTCAACGGTTAAAAATGTCTAGCAAAGTGTAGGCCTTGTTTACTTTAGTACTGTCATTATATGCCTAAACCAATTTGCATCTTCTAACATATTTAGCATCATGTAATAATGTCTATTTCAATATGAATAATTTTTTACACCTTTATTTAGATTGGCATATTAACTGTTCTTATTAGATTTTTTTGTTTGTATTGTTTTCATAATTTTTACTGTTTTTATTCTTTTCAAAATTTACTTTATATTGATATTAGTGATTTTTTTTTTTTTTTGCGTTTTAAGGTTTTGTTGGGGTAATTAAAAATTTTCTTGTGATAATTTTTATTTTAAATGATGTTTATGTTCAAATCCTGCAAGCAATTGAAAGTCTTTTTTTTTTTTCTTTTACCTGATCATTTTGCTAGAACAAAAAATCTTGCCTTTTTGACTGCACAGCTTCTTGCTGATATTTTATTGCTTATAAATTTTAAATTCTTCTTTGTTTTGTGACTTTAAAAACTTTTTTTTTTTTTTTTTCAGTTTGAAAATTGTTTTTAAAATTTAGAAAATTTTTATTCTGATCTTGTAAAATTGAAGATAAATTTTGCATTTTCTTTTTTGAAGTATGCATCTTTTAATTTGAACATTTCATTTTTGTTTTTATAAAAAAATTTTAAATGTATGCTAAAGAATTTTTGATAATCTCTGACTTTATAATTTATAAATTCATAATTTTTGTCAAATTTTAAAAATTTTCTAATTATTTTGTTTACACATTTTTTATTTGATCAAAAAGTTATAAGATATGACCTATAAGTTCTAGTTTTCTAGATTTTCCTTTTTGTATTTTCAACCTGAACCCTTATTGTTAATTACTTATTTTAATATTAAAATACTTTTATGGCCAATAACATATTTGACTTTGTGTTCTTTAAAAAAGAAAAATTCTGTCTATATATTTGAGATTAAACTGCAATGTTTAAAGAGAATCAGAATTATTCACTTAATCGCTTACACTTTTATGCAGATGACCTTACAGACAGGATTGAATGAATTGTTGAAGGTTTTAAGTATAGATATTTCTGTGGATATTTCTGATGCTCAAAACTGGATAAATTATCTAATAATTTATATAATTTAATGGGATTTTATCGTTTGTAATCTCACTCCATCTTAGTGGAAGTGTAGAAAATATTGCACTGATTTTAAACATTTAAAATCAGATTAATATTTTTTTACACTTCCACTAAGATGGGGTAAGATTAAAAATACCCTGGCAAAGCAAAATTAGCAAGAAACTATCAAAATGGGGAAAAGAATTTTTATTTTATTAGAATTTATTTTGAAGTTGTTTTCTTTAAAAATTCATGAAAATTATCTTGCTGTACTTCATAAATATTCTATCAAGTTCAATTTTTTTAGTTTCATAATCAAATTTGGATAGACAAACACTTTATTTAATAAAATAGACCTTTTTAAGATAAAATTAATTTTGATGAGAATTGGAAATTCAAGCTTATTATTAGAATAAATTTTACAATTATTGTTGTGTAAATTAGCGAATTTTTAATTTTCAGAGCTGGTTCAAATTAAAATAACAACATTCTGTTATGACACTATAAATTGGTTGCCTTGATACAACTGGAATAGCAATCTTGAAACATTTTGTAGCTATTTGTAAGGTAATGGGCCCCAAATTCTAGAACTTATCTAGTGTATATTTGTACAGTTTGGTATTTGGAGATTTTTTTTATTAGCATATCTGAATAAACTGATTTTGTAGCATGATAAAAAAAAAAAAAAAATTCTTTTAAGGCGATACAAGTTTTACCTCCATCAATTCCAAGGATTTTTTTCGTATTTTTAATAACTATTTTATGTAACCTTCAGTTCACAGTAGGGCTACTGTGAACCAATTGCAAAGAGGCTCAAGTGAAGACACATATTTTTACATTCAATGAAATCATTGAACAAGAGATCCTAGTCAGTGTCTAGCTCTTCTAGTCTTGCCTAAATTGTCTCTGAACAGCTTTAGAAATGGGGTTAGGCCACCAATGATGATCCCGACTGCCAATGCAGGCAATCACAAATTATAGAGCATCTTCTAGTTTGCACCAATCTGTGGGGAAAATTGTGAAAATGGCCTACCTCGGAAACGCCTGCGAATCTGTGCGATGTGCAAACTCCAGTTTGCTAGCGGTAAAAGGAACCAAAATGGCGGCGCCCATGTTTTATGTCGGGCAGTCTCGGTTAGTTAATGCGAAAACTCGTCTCGTCATTCGCATGCAAATCGTGGTCGGTCCTCGGCTGTATAAAGCAGGTGCTTTTTTTCTGTTTCGGATGAGAGAGCTTTTGGCTCATGAGAAGGTTGGACGTGTGACACCAGTTTTTGTCGGTTACCCTCCTTGTGTTTTTTTTTTTTTTGTTCCTACCTTCTATTATCAGTTAATTTGTTGTGTTACCCCTGTTGTGTTAGATTCATGCACACTTAACAACCTTGAAACTATAACACCCCAGGCAAGGCTGTGTGTGCAACACTGGATGGGTGTAGTGTAGTAACTTGATAAGGAACAACCCTGCTTATCAGTTAATTTCTATGCATTTTAATGGCATTTCTATTCAGGTGATCATTTCTCTTTACAACTTCCTCTTTAATATCTGAACTACCATGAAAGATACTGGAGTAATTTTCTTCTTAAATTGGCTGACACTGTTCAAGAACTGTTTAACCTATAGATAGGGTGGAGAAAAAGATTGATTCCAACCTTTCCCAAGGGTTTTAGATTAAAATGAATACAACATGTTATCAGAAATTAAACACTGACGGCTGATTCCTTTTTTGGGTCTGCTAATAAGCGTTATCTCTTGTTAATAATGCCAGTTGCTAATTTCTGTAAAAAAAAATCCTAATGAGATTTCTTACAAAAATGTTCTTACACAGTTGGGATTATTTAGTGGAATTTTCTTGGGAGAATATATGAACCATTAAAATCTAATGGGTTATTGAAATAAAGCTCTTGTTGCAATAACAATGAAATCGAGAGATGAAATGTTCAAAATAAGTTTGTAAAGTTTTATCAAGAGACTAAAAGGAAATTTTCATTAAATGAATTAAGACCCTAAAGACAATGGAATCTGCAAGCAACATAAATATATTTGAGTTTTCCTCATTATTTTCAGTTTCAATTGTATTAAGATTAATATTATTTGTCTATTATTTGGTTGCAATAATTCTTTTTTGTCTATTCTTGCAGTCATGGTTTTTATGTATTTTTCTAAATTTACTTTCATTGATATTTTTCAAGTCTTGGACTATTCTGCTTACTGTTTTCATTTTTTTATTTCTTCCTTCATTTCTAAAGGGACGTGATGGTTCTGCACTAAACTTGGATGGTACTCAGCCATTAGCTGATGCTCAACTTCAAGGTGTAAGTATTTTTTTCATTTTTCTTTTTAGGAACAAAAATTCTTACATTATTTTGATTTATTTCAAGCAAAACTCACTTTTTATCTATATTGTAGTTTTTTACAGTTATTAACATAGGCTGAAAATGTCAACAACCACAAAATGACTCGTTTTGCATCATCTCCTTTCAGTTTTGTTCAAACTTGTTACAACAGTAAAGAGACATGCCAAACTGAAATTCCAAAAATATTAGAGCTATTTGACCTTTGGTTTGCAAGCTACAGGGTCATGGCTGTGACCTTTTTTTCTTTTTTTGCATAATATAACTGTTTCTTTTTAAATTGATGCATCTAAAAGACTAGTTGATTGGTTTTGTTTTCCATTTTAAAGACATTTTGTATCTATTTAAATTGTCTTTTTTTTCCAATATCTCTACTATGGAAATTAGAAAGTTGACCTTTTTATTTAAAAATATAACAAACTTTTTTTGTAAAAATCAAAATTTGTAAAACTTAGAATAATGTAGACCAAGGTAGCTAAAAAGTTTGTAAATGTCTGTTTGTAATTTTATATTTGGGATATCTTTAAACAAATTGATTACATTTTGCATAAGATACAAATGGACAGATTCGGGATCCAGTCTAAATTTATTCATAATTTATTCTCTTTAAAAAGATTCCTGAAAAAAAATTGGAAGTGTCCCAGAATAAAAATGTTTAGCTTTTTATCATTGATAGATATTAGTCATATAATAAAAACATCAATAGAATATTTAAAAATAAACTAAAAAAAAAAAAAGAGATAAAATATTAAAAATTTAAAACTGAAAAAATACAAAAACAAATTCACAGCTTTATTTTTATTTAAACATTTCAATTAAATCACCTTATATATTTTACACAGATGTTCTTAATAATTTTCATGCTTAGAATAACTTTTATATTTTAGTTTAAGAATTTTACCCTCCACATTCCTTTTTATATATAAGGAATATTAGTGCATTCCAACTATTCACAATCCAAAAACATTGTTTTAAAGTCTTTACGAACAACTTTTTATCCACAATTGCCTGTCTAGTATCATGACTTCTGGAGATAAAATAAGTATTACATTCCGATATACAATTAATTTGTATAGAATACATTAACATAATTCATAATTGGGAAATAAGTTTTTTTGTTTTTTTTCTTTTCCAATGATGAACTATGAAGATGGATTCATACGTTTCTCAAGGGTGTTAGTATAAAAGTAAACACAACAAACTTTGTTGGAATTTGAACTCTGCACACAGATTGGATTTTCTTGGCTGATAGCCATCATGCTAAGCTCTTGTCTATACAGACACTAATTACACAGATTTAATGTATTTGGGTAAAACAATGGCTTCAAGTTAGAAAATTATCTCGATTGTATGTGATTTTTGGGTTAGATGATTTGGGTTTGTATTTGGGATATCTTTAAACAAATTGATCCAAAGACACTTCATTTGTATTCAATTATTTTCATATTAATGGAATTGCATATTTTAGTTCTAACAGAAAGTATACTTGACTGTATCTCTCATATACTCATGAATTATATAGCGATAGTGAAAAATATTTTCAATTGCAAATTTATTGGCAGTGAAATTATTAAAAATATCTCTGACTGTACCTCCAAACCTTGAATTTCATGTTAAATATACTTGTCTCCAGTATAGTGGAAGAACCTGTTTTCCACAAACTTTGTTAAACCAAATAAATATTTACTTTATAAATTAAGTTTATTTACAATTTATTTACATTCACTCACATACATTATCTCTCTGCATTCATTCATTTATTTTATACTCTTTCTTTTTTTTTTTTTTTTTTTTCACCCTCTCCCTCTGTTTTATCTTACCTTTTCTTTCTATTGTAATCTTATTTTGTGACCTTTTCTTTTTTTCTTAACTTTTCTTCTCTCTGAGTATTTTGTTAACTCTTCTGGTTAATTTTTTCTCTTCCTTTAATCACTCTATTAGGTTTGCCAGATTGAGCGACAATTAACAAATTGGGTTTATATCTGAAAGCTCAGTACAACTAAATGATGAATTGACCATGTTCTTATTAATAAACCAAATTAGAGGAGCTTATTTTATTTAACCCATATCTACCTGGTGACAGTTTAAACAGATACCTCTTTTTCTTTTCTTTTTCTTTTTTCTTTTCTTTTCTCTTTTCTTTTTCTTTTCTTTTCTTTTTTCTTTTTTTTTCTTTCTTTTTTTTTCTTTTTTTTCTTTTTCTTTTCTTTTTTTTTTTTTCTTTTTTTTTTTTTTTTTCTTTTTTCTTTTTTTTTTTTTTTTTCTTTTTTTTTTTTTTTTTTTTTTTTTTTTTTTTTTTTTCTTTTTTTTTTTTTTTTTTTCTTTTTTCTTTTTTCTTTTTTTCTTTTTTTCTTTTTTCTTTTTTTCTTTTCTTTTTTCTTTTCTTTTTTCTTTTCTTTTTTCTTTTCTCTCTGTTTTTTCTTTTCTCTCTTTTCAATATATCTAACCTTGAATTATAATTTTAGACAATGAAAATTACACTGAAATATGTTAGGAAATTTCCAAAGTTTTCATATGAAATTGAGAAAATATAAACTTTAAGCAAAATGATCCCATTATAGGAGGTCAACAGTGTCCCTTTAAATATGGTTCCCCAAAATTTTTTCTCTGGGCCGCATTTTTGGAATTAAAATTTGTTTGCACATCACCAAATTTTATGTGATAAAAAGTACATTTTGAAAAAAAGAAAAAAAACAGTGAGAGGGCTAAGGGAAATACCCACAGATTTGAAGTCAGAACATTATCATTGATAACTCTCTCCTTCAATTTACAGAGCCTAGTTATTATATTCATAATAGTTGATATAATGGAAAAATATTACAATTATAAAATCTGTCAATAATTATTCATAACTATTTATACTCCTGTATGCAATTACAAATAATTCATAATATTTTAAATAATTTATTTTTGGTATATGAATTTTTTTTAAACTGTTTCTAAATCATCTGCTGTACCCATGACATGTACCACACCATTTGGGAATCACTGGTTTAAACTGACACCAGGAAATTATGGGGTAAAAGTAATCTTAAAATTTGCATGTTGTAAAATTGAAAGATGAGTAGCTCTACCTTTCAAAAGTAACTCTATCTGACGACCTTGCTCTGTATCACCATTTTAGATTTTCTATGCCTTTAGGTGTACTTCTTCTTACTTTATCCCACATCTTGTGTGTGTATGTATGTATATGATATTTTTGTAGGTACAAAATTTAATGATCAAAATAAAAGTATAAAACTAATATTACGAGACATATTAAAAACGGGCGAAGCAACCAGTTTCACTCCTGCTCTTCAGGCTTCAATGGGAGATTTAAAATTAACACAGAAAAATGTACAATAAAAGGAAGTTGTGAAAAAAAAAAATAACAACTTCTTTTTATTGTACATTTTTCTGTGTTAATTTTAAATCTCCTGTTGAAGCCTAAAGAGTGGGAGCGAAACCGGTTGTTTCACCCATTTTTAATGTCTCGTAATATTAAGTTTTATACTTTTATTTCGATATATATATATATATATATATATATAATGTGTGTGTGTGTGCGGACAGAGGTCAACACCAAGTAGTGACAGTCTTTCATGCTTGAATACAATCTTTGACCAGCATATATAAATAGTTGAGCCAAAACACCACACATTTGGCCTGAAGATTGCATTCAAACATGAAACACTTTTGCCACTTGGTACTGACTTGTCCAATTTTTCTTTTTTTTTAAATAAATGAAAAAGTTTTTTAACCTTTTTCTCCATCTCTTCTTCAGTCGACTCTCTCTTGAAATGAGCCAGCCTCTTTTTCTTCCTCAATCTATTATTAGGTCATTTCTTTGGTCATTCATTCATTCCATCATCAATTGCCTTTTTCCACAGAATATGTTAATAGCCCCTGGCAAGAAGTTAAATGATGAACAAGCTAATATGAATGGTACTTCCTCTCCAACTCCAGAAGAACTTGCTGCTGCTGAGAAAGAACATAAGGTTTATATAGTTTGTCTTTTATTTTTGCTCTTACTTTCATCTTCAGCATCTCTCACTTTTACAAGAAGTTTTGCTTTTCATTTAGATGTCTTTTTAAATTATTGCAAATTTTTTTTCCTCCCATTTTGAGTTGTGAATTTCAGGAATTACTCCAATTTTTTAATTTAATGTTATTTTATAATTCAGTGATCTGTAATAGTTGCAATTTGATGAACACTATTGTTTTATGGCTCTTTCTGTTAATAGCCAACAAGAAAAAAAATTGTCTTGTTCATTATATAGGTTTGTTTCTACCAGAGCCATAATTTTTATATTCTTGAAACATTAAAACCAAAGAAAAATATTTTACACCCCACTATCAAGGGTATCAGAATAAAAATATTTCATTCGTTCCTTGTAAATGCTTATATGTAAGAAAAAAAAAATTAAAAATGAATCTTTTAAACAATGTTTCAAAATTATTTTAATTCTGTATAATGAACAGAAACACATCAATTATATTTATAAACTCAAAGTTATGACCATTACAAAGTCGACAAGTGGTTAAGAAATTTGTTAGCCAACCTAATTTTTTTTTTTTTTTTAATGATTATATAGACAATAGATTACTTCTCTATCTGGTATCAGTGTTTGTCATTGAAATGCCAGTAAAAGACCACAATTAGAAATTCAAATTTTATGGCAAGCATCTTGCTCAAATGATGGTGTAAGATTGAAGTTAGTGTTTTTAAAAATTTGGGCACTATTAAACTGAATAAAAAAAATGCTATGAGTTGTAAAATTTTCAAGAATTTTTTTCAGATTCAATTGTTCATCGTTTGAATTGCTAATGTATTTTTATTTGCAGCTCTTGGCATCTGTATTGGTATATATAAAATTGATTTCAAAAGCAATTTATCCCCCCGAATTTATTTTTAATATGCACCTAATTTAAAAAAAAGATACAAATATATGTATATGAAATATATTCTGATATAAAACTTACAGAAATTATGATCTGTAATTTTTTTCTATAATGTTAATAATTTTCTAATATAATTTGTTCAGATCTGTTAATATTACATACAAGCATCCTTGGCAAAAGCACATTTTTCACATTCATAAATTAATCCTATTAAACTTACTGAAAAATTCTTTTTGAAATTCTGCATTTGAATTACATGTGACAACAAATTGGAGATTTTATATTAAGAAATATTAATTTTTTTGCTGTACTTAAATCAAAAAGCTATGCAGTCTTACAAGTAAGCAAATCAGTCATCAAATGGATATTTAATCAATTTAGTGAGTTTCTCTATTTTGTTAACGATCATTTTTATATAAACCTTTAAAGAATAAACAAATTTGTAAGAACTTGTTTTATTTCAGAGCTTCATTACTTTTTATTAAAAAAATTTGCTTTTGTTCATGTATTTAATATTAAACTCTATAAATATTAAAAATGATTATTTTGAAAGAATTCTTTTGATAATTTTTAATATATTATATTTTTATGTTAAAAGCACGAACCTGCTTTCACAATTTTTTTATTTTTATTTTTTTTTTATTAATGGAACAACAAATTCTTTGTTTTTTTTTTTTTTTTTTTTTTTTTTTGAGAAAGAAATGATGTTTGGTCTTATATTGGATGCATATTGAAATCCCAGAAAATGTGGTTATGCATCCTCAAAGATTCAATATGACTGATTCTTTTTTTACTTTTTTTTTTTTAACTACTATTCTCTGTATTGAATTTGATCTTTTTATAATTTTTCACTTGTCAACAATTAAGTCTTTCAGTAAAAAAGAAACGTGGTTCCATTAAATTCGGTATGACAAATCATATTTTGGCATGGGGGTAAATCATATTTGGCATGGTATTACTGAAAAATCAGCTGATAAATTTTTTTAAAAAGTTTGAAAATAATGATATAAAAAGAACAAAAATATGAAATTTTTTGTTTTGATTTTTTTTTTTTTTTTTTTTTTCTTTTTAAAGACTCTGCTTCCATCTTGCTTGTTACGTGTGTAATTGCTAACAGAAATATAAATAACAAAATATATTACAGACAAGATAAAAGCTTGTTAGTCACCTTCGATTTTACTAAATTTGTTAAAGTTTCTTGTTATATGCATCTATTCTGTCATGTAAATGTATGTTATGTTTCACTAATTGTCTAAATCATTAATTTCTTTTGGGCATGTTAAAATGCTTAGAATTACAAGAAAATTCCAAACAAAATATTAAATTTAAAAATGTGAAATTATGCAACTTTTCTATTTTTAAGACAACAAAAAAAAAAGTCATGATCCTGCAAAGTAAACATTAATAATGATGAGAGGAAAAATTTCAAAATTTCTCTTTGGTCATATAAACTTGTTTTCATTTTGTGGGACTGACATGTGTCCAGAATGTTTGAAAAAGACTTTAAAACTCATAAAATATAACAATTCAATATTTTTTAATGAATGTCTTTATATCTGATAAATTATAGTAATTACACTGACATGCCAAAAATCATGGAATAACCATATTTCTGAGTAATGGCAAGTGATGTTGTATATAACACACCATACTCTGATGTCACAGAAATGCTTAAACCTATATCAGTTGTACTTTGACATCTTTTTAGTCGGTGTGAATGCCAGCTAGTCTGTTTGTGGCAAAGTAATGGGAATTAGTTTGAATAGGACACAATAGTGGGTACTAGATGAATTGGTCATTTCATTTCTGAAATGGTAAGGATATTTGACATTCCTTAATCTAAGGTTATTATGTGTATAGGAAACACTGTATGAAAGGTATTACCTCTCACTATGGACATTATAGTAGCCACAAAAGATCCTTAATGATTGACTTGGGGCATCTCTCTGCATTAAAAGAGGTGGCACTACCTAAAATCAAGTTGACATTTAGTACAGGAAATACCAGATACCTATCCAGAAAGTCAGTTCAATATTCAGTAGTGTCCATGGGATATAGGCACAGAAAATCCACCTGGGTGTTCCTGTTAGCATCACTACACTGGACATCATGCCTTATCTGGTCTTATGGTATTGCTAATTGAACCATAGAAGATTAGCAGCATGTTTCATGGTCTGATGAGTCATGATTTCAGTCATTTCAGATTGATAGTAATGTTTGGATGTGGCACAGATGCCATGAGACCATGAACCCTAGTCATTAACAAGGGACTGTGATTATTCTAAAATGGTGTCATCATGCCAAAGTTGCAGATGATTGCTTTGAGGTATATTCTGATGCATGGTGTAACCACCATGTTAACCAAACATGAGACCAATTTAGCATTTATGGGATGTTCTGGAGAGGTCTGTTAGCATGCAATATCTTGCACCTGCAAATATCGGGGAGCTGTTGACAGTTATTGAGAAGGCATTGTTTAACGAACCTCCAAAGATGCCACTTTGAATTGTGGCACTTTGATAGGTATTTATCATGTGACTTTTGGTGTGTCAGTATATGACTTTGTTTTCAAATGAATTTATATAAAATGAACTATAAAACTTTCATATATACATTAATATAAGCCTAACAATAACGATGTATTGCTTCTCATTTGTTTTAATATTTTCCACTCATCAGAAAATTTATGTATTTTGAATTTTTCAAACATGAAAAAGAATGAGTTTATTAATATCTAAAATATAACTGAAGAATAAAAAAAAAAATTAAAGTTTTTGGAAAGTTATACTGATTAAATTAAATATTTTGAAACTTTTCTATTTGAAAATAGAAATTTTCCTAATTTTGATTTTTATCAAATAGTTTTGCCATTTAAAAAAAAAATACGCAGAAAAAAAATTTGATAACGTGCTGAAAAGAAGTTATTTTTACTTATTCCACCTAAATGTCGTGTCTTGTTCCATACGTTGTCATGTGTTGTTCCATTCCATTTTTATGATGAATCCAGGGAAAAGATAAAGAGAAACGTGGTCTGTTTAACAAATTTAAGAAGCATCCTAAGGATTCAAAGGACAAACGGGATATGGCTGCTGGGGACGTTGTCCCAGCTGTGAGAGTTAACAATGTACCCGATGAGGCCACTCTGGCTAACAAATCGGAACCCTTTACCAATGGGCCAGATATTACTCAGGTTTCTCTTTTTGTTACCATATTGCATTATTTCCTGCTAATTCTTTCTTCATCTGCCATCAAAAACTTCTTTCTCTTCAACTTTTTCCAAAACCAGGAGATATACTTAAATGGGCTTAAATATTTTCTTAAAGAATAATGACTTCATTTTTCTTTTCTTACTTAATTAGGATTTGAGTAATTTTGGAAATTCCTAAAATACATTGTGATCATATGCAGTTGAAACATTCCAATATACGAAGAATTTCAGATTAAATGATATACAGTGGTGTAATGAATAATTTCTAGGAATGAGAAGGAGTTTCAATTCCAGTCATGTTTGTTACATTCACTTACAAATACCCTTGGGGGAAAGTTGGAATCCATCTCTTCTCCCTCCAGCTATGGGTTAAACAGCAGAATTGACTGGGTCCTATAACCTTAGTTAGCAACCAGTCTACTGCAGAAAGAAACGACAATCTAATGCAGGAAAATATTCTGCATAATAAGTCACGATTTGAAAGAGACATGATTACTCAAGCATGTATTGTGTAGTGCACTTCATAGGTGAGGCAGAATGATTGAAAAACAAAGATTTACAAAGCTTTCCAAAAAATTCATATGCCAAAAAATAAATTATTTCAAAATTTATATTATGGATTACTTGTAATTGAATGCATGAGTCTGAGTATAAATAATTTTAAATAATTGTTGACCAATTTTATTATTGTGATATTTTTGCATTATATCAGGTATTAAGAACATAGTAACTAGGGTCTGCATATTGGAGGAGAGAGTTATCAATGATAATGTTCTGACTTTAAATCCAGTTATCACACTTTAACCCTCTCTTTGTTTATTTTTTGCAGCCCAAAGAAAAAGTTTGGGAACCATGCATTTAGATAATGTTCTAAATTTGGCCTTTGGCCTTTTAGAATGCATGACAAAAGGACATTAAATAAGCTATTTTAATTTCATAGTGATAATATTTTTACATAATTTATTTTTCATTTTTATAAAATTAGAATAAAAAAAGCTTTGAGATATAATTTTCTTTCATTCTAGTTAAAAAAAAAAAATGTAAGAAAAATGATTTTGAAATCTTATATCAACATTCTTACTGGACTAATGTTAAAATAAACTATTATAAATCCAATTATTTTGATAAAGCTCTAATTTTGTATAACGATTAAATGTTTTTACATAGTAAATAAATGACACTTAATTTTACGATATGCCTATAGCATTCTAATGGTGTTTTTTTTTTCTTTTTTCTTAGTATATTAATTTGTGGGTTGGTATTAAGGTTCTGTTAACTAAAAACCTTTTGCTAACCACAGATTGATCAATCACCAAAAAATTGAAAAGTTCTTGAGCTGACCTACTTCCACAAAAATCCGACAAACATCTGGTTTTTGTTTCTTGAAGAAACAAAACTTTTACCCACTCACTTCTGTGTGTTGGGAGGGGTATATTTGTATATAGTCTGTATTTTGTTGGTATTTTTCTAGATTGTCCTCCTACCAACAAACTACATAAATCACACTAAAGATATCAGCAGTTGGAATTGTGAAATGTACATTCCAATGTGTACAGTCTGTTAAGAGTCAAATAAAATTTAAGACTAATTAGCATCATTAATAGTAATCCCATAAGTATCTCCTGGTTTGTAGAACTTAACAAACTCACTAAACATAACATTGGTTTGATAGGTGGTTATGCTTACATCATTAATCTTCTTCAATTGCTCTTAGGATAAAACAAATTAATCTGCTTATGTTTGGTATGAAACATCTTGACACAATTTTATTTTATTTTTTTAAACTAACTCATTTTTACCTGCATGAGTTCATTGAATATTTTGGCTTTATTTTTCAGTTTCTACTTTATTTTCAAAAGGTCTTTTTATTATTTAAAAGAAAGATATCTTCAATTTCATGTAGGAAATAATCATAACCAAAATTCAGACTAACTGAAAATTTAAGTCTAAATTTTTTACGATCATTAGTAATGTTTTGATTGGTTTATCAAATAGGTTCTGTTGGGATAAAATTTCATACAAAGATGATTTCTTTGTTATATTGTTAGTTGCAAAAAAAACAAAAAAAACAAGTCCCTTATGAAATAAAAATTTGAATAATTGTTGTTTTAATATATTTCTACAACATATTCTTAAATTTAGAATATAGAACTGTCAAAGACAATCTGAAATGATTTTAAATAAAGTAGGACCTTCATTCTAGAAGTCAACCTGTATTAAAATTCTTCATAACCTTGATTTTTTTTTTTTTTTTTTTTTTTTTTTAATAAAGATTAAATTTACTGTTACTTAAAATTTGATATACTTAAACAAGTGTATAAACTGGTGTAAAAGAAATAATAAATGGATCTTTAGCCAATATTTTAGAAACTGGGGAAAAAAAGTCGCCATTTCATTTCGAAATCATTAACTTCATCCATTGTTTGCCTTTGGATTATGTTTGCCTAATCTAACAGTCTCATTGCATTATTAATATTATATTCTATCTTTTTCATTAGGCTTGATTCCTCCATCCCCCTCCAACTTCACTCTTTTTTTCATTTGGCCCGATTCTTCTTTTCCTCCTTTCCTTTTTTTTTTTTTACTCTTGGCCCAATTGCTCCATTTTCCTGATTTTTCTTTTCTCTCTCTCATTAGGTCCATTTCTTCATATTTTTTTTTCTTTTTCACTAGGTCCATTTCTTCATTTGCTGATCCCAACTTGTAATTTGCAAATCTATGATGTACAGTTGAATATTTGACCATCTTTTTTGTCAAAGAAAATGAAACAAAAACACTTGCAAATTTTTTTAGGTTGAAAAGTTTACCTTCTCCAATTTATTTTATTTCATTTTATATATATTTTTTTTTTTTTTTTTTTTTTTTTTTAATCATAAATTTCCTCTTTATTTTATTGACATGAAGCAATTTGCTTTGTGATTGAATCTTTCAAAAGTAAATAATGGAATTTTATTAAAAAAAAAAAAAAATTTAAATTCATGGATTTTGAAAATTTTAATTTAGCTTATGTGCCTGTGAAATCTTTTTTTAGCTTTTCTATTTCTGAATTTTTTGGAGGAATTATGAAATTTTAAATTTATTTTATAAAATGTGAGCAATCATTTTTTTTTTTTTAATTTTATCCCAAGTGGAATTAATTTTTTTTCTTTTAAAGTCTATAATAGCTTAGAAAATTTATTGCTTTATATCAGATTAAATGTTTTGACATCAAGATCAATTGTAATAAGAGACATTTTGTTAATAAATTTCTATTTAAGTTGCTAATTGTGAGGTGTTTCTGAAATCATATTACTGTTTGTACAGGGTTTATTATATATATATATATAATGTACACACACACAGAATTGTTAAACTGGTTTAAATAGTCTATGCTAAAGCAATACATGGAAACAGTCTGCAAATTCAGAAACACTCACAAGTTTTACCAAATAGACATTGTGGAGAAATAATTTTTCGTGCATATATATATATATATATATATATATATATATATATATATATGTAATGATCTCGTTGGAATCTTTACGTAAGTTATCTCCCTTTGAACGTGAAACAACAAATTGGATTCTTTACTTCTGCTTGCTCAATCTGCTACTACTTCCTCTAGTTACCCCCATTTTTCTCCATCCTTTCACTCTTAGTAATCACTTGTCTTATATATTGATTATTTGCTTTAGCTTGGGAGGGGATGCACTTTACTAATGTTGAAAGATCATCCATCCATATATATCCATATATATATATATATATATATATATATATATATATATATATATATATATATATAAACTTTACCATTTTGCACAAAAAAATTATTATTAATTTCTGCACTTAGGTCTGCTACATTGGGCTAAGCAGACTCTATTGCTTGGATGCTTTTATGATTTTTAATTTTAAAAATATGAGAAATTTTTGAAATTGTTTGAGAACATTTTAGGGGATAAATTTATGTTTTTATAACTTTTCTTTTGTTAAGCTTGTTATTTTTCTGAAACATTTGTGTATGTGTGTGACTTGTTTAACATAAGTATTCAAAATCTGTCTTTTCACAAATTTTTCTTCCAGGATTTTAACTTTTGGAAAGATTTATATTCATGGATTTATTTATTTTTTTTTTTTTTTTAGGCAGGGTGTGTTAAGCGCCATTGAATAACAATTCCCTTCCTTGCCAATTTAATACCAAATGTCATCTATTTGCTGCTGAAAATCTGTTTTGAAAATCAGACACTAGCAAAAAATTAAATTCTGTTAAAAAAATTCAATATTAATGACTCTTATGGTTATATGCCAGTTATCATTTAAAGTTTTTTTTTTTTATTTTATCTTTCATTTTAAATGACTTTTCAGCCAATATTTGCCTTAGTTTTAGCAGTTTAATATTTTAGCTAGCCATGAGCTGTTTTCAATAAGTTATAGTTCACTTTTGAACAGGACTGTAGGTTTATCCCCTGTTTCCTGTTTAGGATTAGGTTTCTGGTTCCTTCTAGAATCTTTTTATTCTTTTTCACTCCCAGTATCCCTTGTGTCTTAGTGGCATTGTTGCCTTGCTTGGTCTAAATTGATTAAAAAAATTTTTTTTCTGTTGTAATTAGGAATTAAACATGTCAGACTTATTAAAGCAGCAATTAAATAAAATAAAATGCAAGACTTGCATATTTAACCCTTAGCAAGCAGGAGGCAAACATTGTTGCCATAGAATTCTATCCCTTTGTATGCTATTAGGTACATTCTGTTGCCTCAAGAAGGTTGTTATAAATAAACACTTGTCAACTGTTATTTCCAAGTTAAAATAATTTTATTCAGTATTGTAATAATTTAAGTAGATTTAGGCCTGTTTTAACTGCTTATGAATTGTTCACCTGTAAAAGGCCCAAAAATGAAACTTAATCATAAAATGATATTCTATATTATGTAACTCGTACATTAAGATGAAGCATTTGGTCTGATATCCTTGAAAACTTTGTGTATTAGGAAAACAAGAT